AAGCAGGATTGAAGACAAGATGGAGATGAGGCATCAGCCTTATATAGTCTTTTCCAGGTGTAAGAACACCTCTTTGTTCTTACTGTGGAAAATTACAGCAAAATGGAGTCTGGAGTCACATGGGCAAGTTCCTGCATACTTTGCTGAGTTACAAGGCATATTTATCTTCTCTCAATGGGTCATTTGTATAGCTGATGGTCCTTAATGGGCCATCAAGCAGGCTAGGCAGAGCTAACACCAGCTTGTCTGGGATGTCACCCAGAAGCATAGCATAAATTTGAAATACAGAGCCAATATTCATAACGTCAACTACAAAATTGATACACACATATAGACAGCATAATCATAACCAGTAAACCATAACCTTGTCTTAAACACCTCATTTGACCCCCTTTATACAAGATTTGGTGCCACTACAGGACTTTGGTTGCAACCATGTTCTATATGTTCCCAGATTATGTCTATAATGTCACACACACACACCTCTATTATGGCAGTTTTAGGCCAGTAACAATCACTAGGGAGTTATAGTGGTACAAATCTGCAGGGATGGAGTGAAAAATCAGGCCTTAGGGCTCTAGATAACTAGTTGGGAGCATTAGAAGTAGCACACAGGGAGCATAATTATGGTGCTACCTGCAGGAGCCTCTGTTTGCAAGGCAGGGAAAACATACACATTTTACAACTAACTTGTTTCTTTAATTGCTCCAAGCTGTTCAATATGGCATCTGACATGGAAACTGTCACATGGCAACGTGGGAATGCATAAATGCATCATACCATTCTCTACTGATTAAGATGGATCTGTCATTAGGTAGAATCCTTTAAAAAGGTGGATTTAGCAGATCTCTTTAACAAGGATCAGACTGGAAATCTCATTCACTGATGGAATAACCCCTAACACTGGGATGAAATGGGAAGCCAATGGCGTTTGACCAAGATGCTGAAAGGGTCAGAGGATGTGAGGTGAGGGTAAGGGAGCCTGCCATGCCGTCACTAGGGAAAAGCTGACAAAGGAACTATAATAACTGTCTAGCAGTACCTGAGAGGAAGGAATTATTTAAAATGACTTGAGTAGCGGCGGCTCCCTGATCTACCCACCCCAAAATATCCTCTTCACTCTCCCTTTTATGTTTCCCTCACTGTGAATGTGTTATTACTGTAGCACCTAGAAAAGCATGGGTACTAAGTGCTGCACTAATATATATTAATAGACAGTCCCTGCCCCAAAGAATATATGAGCTAATTAGCAAAGGGTGGGGGAAGGGAAGCAGAGCAGAAGTGACTTGCTCAGGGCACACTGCAGGTCAGTGGCAGAGTCCAACAATAGACCCCAGGCATAGCCCAATAAGCTGTACAAATTCCAATGAATGAGCTTGTGGCTAGTTTGCATTGCTATCCCTTGAGCTCATGGACACAGATCTGTAAAACTAAATATTTTTCTTATATAGCAATTTAACTGGATTTGTGTAAACTAAACATTTCCTGACCATTGGATCATGATAGCAAGATATTGTCATAGTGATTGTTTAATAACTGATCACCTGAGACTCGGAGTGAAGCCCAAATTAATGACAAAACTCCAATTGACTTCTAATGGGGCTAAGAGTTCACCCTAATTGGACTATTAATTATCCTACTTTCAGAACTTGTAGAACTACTTACTGTCTCCCACTTAGGAGCACATGGTGTTATATATCCACTATTAAAAAAACTAGGAAACAGGGGTTGATAGTGTACAGTAAATACAACAATGTGATTGCATTGGGAAAGTTGTCACATAGCAATGTAACCAAGGAACTTGGCTAGCTCATCATCAAGTAACATTATGGCTTCCACCATCTGGGGCTTCTCAGGGGCCAGGTTTAGCTTACCATCAGCAATGCTGGCCCCTCAATTCAGGCCTGATGCAAAGCCCAGTGAAGCAATGGAAAAACTCCCACTGACTTCAAAGGCTTTAGGATCTGATCCCATATGATCTCTCATCTTGATAGTGCTTCCAAACTTCTATTTAGAAAAACAGCGTGCAGTTAGGTTTATAGTTCTGTTTCCTGTAGGAATAGTGGGACAGTTTGTGCTATTCTAGTTTAAACTTAATTGTGCGTATTAATTTAGGGCTGCCACTCATCCTGATTGTTCTGGACTCCTCCCAGTTCACTCATGCCAAAAACCCATTTTACATGCACAGCTGGTGAGATACTTACCATCCCAAAAGGACAAGCAGCACTGCATGACGTTGCCTTGTTGTACACAAACACAGTGCCACAACATTGTAGCACACAGTCAGTGTGGCAGATTGATCCTACAAGGTGACCCAAATTCACTGTCAATAAGATAACTGCTGTGTTCAAGGCTGCCACTTCTCCTGTGTCAACTTAAAAAAGAAATAAAAAGAAATTGAAATATGTGGTATTTTAAACTGTATTTGCATCAAGACAGCTTCCTTTAGTGCTTTCCAAAACAATTCCTGGTAGTGCTTAAAAAAAAGGGGGGGGGAGAGAAAATATTGACCTGCAAGTGACCCAGCTTTGACTTTCAATGATTTGCAATTGCACTAGTACCGTTTCCTCACTCCCAGTTCTTTAGTTCTAAGACAAAGGACAGTGCAAGAGAGGATGAATGTAAGCAGGGGAATGGTCCTGCTATTGGGGAACCTTTCTGGCTTATAAATTACCCTGGTGAAATGGACTAGTGAAAGGATCTAAGTCCTCGCTCCCACTTCCTTTACTCAGAGGCCTGCCTGACCTCAAGGGCTCCCCTTCTACTCTCCTGTGTGGCAGAGTCCTTGTAACCCCAACAAGGCTGGGCCCAGGATTCCTGGGGGGCTCGACCCCAACCTTGTCATGATTGCTTAGGACGGGGCTAAGGTGTCCCCACTCCGGGGTGCTTTCTCCATACTGGACGCTTCTCTGACCCACTGATCATTACATACAATTCAAAGCAAATACAATATATTAAAGAGCAATCAATTTTTTAAAAAATTAGAAAAAAATGGGAAAGGTTAAAGGAAAACACATAGTAAAAAACTATAGTAAAAACAAAATTATCAGACACATAGATGAATATAATTTGTTGGCGAAGACTCAACATGGTTTTTATAAAGGGAAATCATGCCTCACCAATCTACTAGAATTCTTTGAGGAGGTCAACAGGCATGTGGACAAGGGGGATCCAGTAGATATAGTGTACTTAGATTTTCAGAAAGCCTTTGACAAGGTCCCTCACCAAAGCTCTTAAGCAAAGTAAGCTGTCATGGGATAAGAGGGAAGGTCCTCTAATGGATCGGTAACTGGTTAAAATGTAGGAAACAAAGGGTAGGAATAAATGGTCAGTTTTCAGAATGGAGAGAGGTAAATAGTGGTTTCTCCCAGGGGTCTGTACTGGGACCAGTGCTATTCGACATATTCATAAATGATCTGGAAAAAGGAGTAAACAGTGAGGTGGCAAAATTTGCAGATGATACAAAACTACTCAAGATAGTTAAGTCCCAGGCAGGCTGTGAAGAGCTACAAAAGGATCTCACAAAACTAGGTGACTGAGCAACAAAATGGCAGATGAAATTCAATGTTGATAAATGCAAAGTAATGCACATTGGAAAACATAATCCCAACTATACTATAAAATGATGGGGTCTATATTAGCTGTTACCACTCAAAAAAGAGATCTTGGCATCATTGTGGATAGTTCTCTGAAAACATTCACTCAATGTGCAGCAGCAGTCAAAAAAGCGAACAGAATGTTGGGAATCATTAAGAAAGGGATAGATAATAAGACAGAAAATATCTTATTGCCTCTATATAAATCCATGGTATACCCACATCTTGAATACTGTGTGCAGATGTGGTCGCCCCATCTCAAAAAAGAAATATTGGACTTGGAAAAGGTTCAGGAAAGGGCAACAAAAATTATTAGGGGTATGGAACGGCTTCCATATGAGAAGCGATTAAGAAGACTGGTACTTTTTAGCTTGGAAAAGATGATGAAGGGGGGATATGATTGAGGTCTATAAAATCATGACAAGCGTGGAAAAAGTAAACAAGGAAGTGTTATTTACTCCTTCTCATAACATAAGAACTAGGGGTCAACTATTGAAATTAATAGGCAGCAGGTTTAAAACAAAGAAAAGGAGGTATTTTTTCACACAACGCACATTCAGTATGTGGAACTCTTTGCCAGAGGATGTTGTGAAGGCCAAGACTATAACAGGGTTCAAAAAAGAACTAGATAAGTTCATGGAGGATAGGTCCATCAATGGCTATTAGCCAGGATGGGCAGGGATGGTGTCACTACCCTCTGTTTGCCAGAAGCTGGGAATGGGCGACAGGGGATGGATCACTTGACGATTACCTGTTCTGTTAATTCCCTCTGGGGCACCTGGCATTGGGCACTGTTGGAAGACAGGATACTGGGCTAGATGGACCTTTGGTCTGACCCAGTATGGCTATTCTTATGTTCTTATAACCCCGCTCTGTGGCACAGGGACATCACAAAGAGCTGTCTCTGGAATGTAAGAGCAGTTCACAGTCTGTTCCTCACATATCCCAGGCCTCCTTCTCAGGCCCTGGCTGTGTTGCAGGGATGCTGCGGTTCAGACACTTGCTCTGGCAGTGGTAGGGTGACCAAATGTCCCGATAAAATTGGGACTGTCCCGATATTTAACCCTTTGTCCTGCGTCCTGATCAATGTATGATCGGGATGCCATTTGTCCCAATATTCAGGTAAGGAGGCAAGTGGGAGGGAGGCACTGACCCCATGGGTGATCCGTGGCTGGAGTACCCACGGGGGAAAATTGCAGCCAAGCTCCTCACTCCTTGCCTCCTTCTCCCTCCCCCCCCTTGTTTCAGGCAATTCAAGCTCACACAGAGGACAGGATCTCACCTCCCATCCCCCAGTCTCCTGACTCCCTCATTAGCCTGCCCGCCCTATCAATCAGGATGACCTGGAGCATTGGCCTCTCCCCATTGCCCCTGGGGACTGTTAGTCTCAGGGTCCTGATTTCCCATCAACCTTTCCCCTTTCTTTTGGTACCGGGAGGTAGCCAACCAAAAAAAACCCCACTGAGTTTTAGTAAGGAGCCATGAGTCCCTTTACATGAACATGGGTTTGGTTTTTCAAAACCGTGGTAATTGAGCTTTGGTTTTTCAAAATCAGAATTAGTTTGGTTTGAGACTTCAGTTTACCCCAGCAACCCAAGTTCTTGCAGCTTTAGATGAAGGGACTGTACCAGAAAATAGCTCTAAACAATTAGGGGGGCAGATTTTCAAATATTATCAGTTCCCATTTAGATACCTAAATAAGAGTCAGATTTTCAAAAGTGACAAGCACACAGCAACTCCCATTATGCTTCTGTAGGCCCCCTTTACTAGAGGGGCCTCACTCTGAACTTTATTGGAAGTGTTCCAGTTGGGAAGATCCTGTGTGCTGCAATCTAGCCTTAGAGACTACAACTCCCATGATGCCTTGGGGAAAGAGTGAGAAACTTCCTCTTGCAGGGAGTGCGGGGAGAGCAGGAGGTGGGCTCCATTTTGGGAAAGGAGTGAGATTGCTGGTGTGGACATCTGTCCATACCAGGCACTGCTGCTAACTGCTGCTTGGAGCCTGCTGGGGCTTTGATTGGGCAGGGAGCTTCAGAGATGATTGGTGGTTTCACTGGAGCCAGGGCAGAGACTATGACTGTACCTAGAGCTGACTGAGGTGGGCCTGCAGTGAAGGAACTGAGAGTAACCCCCACTCTTGTTTGGGAAAGTACTTGCAAGGGATGGGGCACAGTAGAGAGACTGAGTCTGAGGAGAGGCAGAATGATCATCCCATTGAACCAGGACCCAGAGCTGCTGAAATTTGGTGGGGTCAACTCCAGTCATCAGAGGGGTTGTATTGTGTTGGCTGTACTGATACACAGAACCAACAGAGTGCTGTCTCCAGCTTCAGATATTCAAGCATGTCCACTCAAGCAAGCGTCTAGGACTCTGAAATCCAGAAGAGTGTACACTCCGGGGTGGGGTAAATGGTGGCAGTGTAAATGCCAGTTAGATAAGTTTCATTTATTACTGTATACTAAATTTTATTGATTTTTTCAACTGCCCCCTGTGGATTTAAATTAGTAGTGACATATAATTTTAGTCTATTATACCCTGTTTCTTTAAATTGTTAAATAAAAGTGTGTTAACTCTAATTTAAGTATTTTGGATGTATATTATTTATAATTGGTATTTTTGAGTGAGACCCATGTCACAGATTATTATTATTATTAGAATAGGTTTATTTCTGGAGGTTCCCAAGGCATGCCACTGAGTGTGTACAGGGGCCAGCCAGGTACAGGCGCCGCCAATTGTAAATTCCTTTAGGAGTAAAGGAACTGCAGCAGAGGGATGGATAGAGGATTCCCACCTATCCAGCATCACCACTGGGATACTCAGGATCTCCTTTAACGTCAACAACATCAGGTGCCCAGGCACACAGGTGAGTGTTGCCTACTCCCAAGTAACCGAAGGAGGAAAGGGGAGGTTACACTTATGGCCAGATTTTCAAAGCAGCTTGATACCCAACATGCCGAGCTCTCTGGAAAAATCTATCCACTCATTTTGGTGTCCAAATAAGAGTTTAGCGCTTTCAAAAATCTGGCCGCAATTGTGGCTGTGAGCTGTTTTGAAACCCTGGCCCTTATTCCATATAAACATGATAGCAACTGAGGATGTCAATTTGCAGTGTTGGGTAAAATAAGAGTGATCACAAAACAAAAACAGTGGGGGATAAATGCAGGCGAATGTAAGGAAATGATTGTGTTACATCAGGTACAAGGGAATAAAGTAGAGTTGCTACCTGATATTATATACAGTGATGGGTCATGGAACTTACAGATATTCCAGGCAGCCCTGTGGGTGTGAGGCCTTGTGTACTTCCACAGAGCAGCAGTTTAGTGGCAGCTGTCCTGAAACCAAAGGTCTTAGATATGAATAACTGTGGCTCAGAACTGATAGGCATGATTGGGATTTTGTGTGGAATTCCTGGTCTGTGCTTTCCGAGCATGCCCAAAGAGACTCACAATACAGTGGGCAATTTGAAGAATGGATAAAATGTGAAAAGAAAAGGGAGAGAGAGGAGGAGGAGGAAGAAGAGAAAGAAAGAAGGATCAGGGCTGATGTGGGAGGAAATGAGGAGGAAATGTGGGAAGGGCAGTAACTTCCCTTGTCTTCGTCCTCCTTTTCCTCCCTCTCTATATATCTCCCCCTGCCCCCCACATTTCCTCCTCAGGGAGAGGGGGGCAGGGGGAGAGACATGCTCAGTGGAGTCTACTGGTGAGCTGATGTTGGGGCATCAAAGTGCAGAGGAGAGCAGGGAAGGGCTGGTAGGTTAAGAGCTAGCTTGGAGAGGGGGAGGCTGGGATTTGGAGAGAACCATAAAGGGGCCACAAATGGGTAAAGGATGTGTTTTCACCACCTGTCTTTCAGAGTCAAGTGTCCCAGTTTTGCATTCTGAAAGGGGAAGAGAGTCCTTTTTTCTTGCCTCATGCATTCCCCCACCAAACACTTCCCCGTGACAACTCCCACTACAGTGTCCCAGTCTTTCACTTTGAAAATATCAACCTGCAGGCAAGGGGTGGAAAATAGCCTGCTGCCAGGAGCCGCACCCCTTCTTTTGGGCACCAGCTACCACTAATGTTAAGAATAAGAGGAATTCAGTGTGGGCTCCCTTGTGTTTTAGGTTCCTGGTCTGAGCATAAGTGGGTGGAAGCACTTAAAATGTCACCCATGCATAGAAGTGCCATGTATGTGCTAAGCATCAGGAAACCCAACATGCCTGGACTAATGGCTAAACTTGCTATTCTATGGAAAGCCCTTGTTTCTTGGTAGAAGCTGAGTCATAAATTCTTCAGAGCCAATTGTCTTCTGAATGCATCGCTCCCATCAGATTCTGCCACTGATTGTATTAGCAAGAACAGTCTGTGTCCATAATCTCTGTGAAGCTGGACATTATATAATAATTATTATTTTAATAATTAATGGAGATATCCCATCTCCTAGAACTGGAAGGGACCTTGAAAGGTCATTGAGTCCAACCCCCTGCCTTCACTAGCAGGACCAAGTACTGATTTTGCCCCAGATCCCCAAGTGGCCCCCCTCAAGAATTGAACTCACAACCCTGGGTTTAGCAGGCCAATGCGCAAACCACTGAGCTATCCCTTCCCCCTAGTATTATTGTACTTGTTTATTTTTGGTACCTCCTTAAATGACCTTGTCTGAGCCACATAACTGTAAAAATGTAACTCCCTACTGTAACAGCAAGGCTGAAACATGGAAGCTATCATTCCCTCGTTTGTCCTAACACTGTCCTCACCCAACTCTCTCGGAGCACATTTTGCAACAAAAGGACAATAGAATCGTCTACAAACTAGGAAGTGAAAAGAAAGCAAGGGTTAGAAGTTTTAGGTGCGTCAAGAACATGAAGTATCTGTGCACGGTGGCTGGAATGTTCAGAAGGCCATTACAGCTTTGATTCCAGTTAGACACCTAAATAAGTGCCAAATTTGCAATTGACCTCAGCATGTTGGGTGCTATTGAAAATCTGGCCCTGATGGGAGATGCTGAGGCCTTGAAAAACCACCTTCTTATGGAAATCTGGAGATACTCATTACACTCATGAAACAAGGGCTGCTCTTTGGAGCTCTGATGTATTCTCAAGGTTAAACAATGTTTTCAATTAACTAACTATAGCCCATAGATCAGCCGCACAAGAGATTTGGATTTAATGAGGCCCCCCAACCACAGACTCTTTTAAAAAACCCTAAAAATTTAAGCATCAGAAATTATGGGCACCAATATTCCTAAATTCCAGCTAGCCAAAGTCAGCCAATGGAGTTTACCCCTGTGTGAATTTCCTTCCTTAACTAGAGACTTCACAGGTGCATTCACATGTTCATTTGTGTATTTTAAACAGAGTGGAATTGGTCTTTAATTATGAACCTTCACGGCCTCTCACTTCACATTCAAATTGTTCTTGCTGGTTTGATGTGCTGTATGGATGAATACCTCTTCTGGTTGTAATCTCTCTGGCTATATAAAACCAAGTCTGCAATGGGCTGGCATCTTCAGATCTAAACTAAGCATGGTTGAGCATTTGGAGGGAACCCATTAAGGAAAACCCAGGTGCTGCAGGTATGGGATGACCCTTAGTGACTCACTTGTTTTCTCCAAATCAGAGAGTCTAATAATCTGGTTACTCCTAGAGATTAACTAAACCAAAGCCCTAGATGTGGACACCCTAAACTTTGGGGAAGTGTGGATCCAGGCCCAAACCTTGTAGCTCAGCCCCATCTCTAGGTATTACTGAAAGCTCCAGAGGTAATGTGTAAGGCCAGACTGAATGTATGTGTGGAGCGCAAGGGAGTCTATAACATCAGCTTGGCACATGGAGGAGTGAACTACAACCTGTGGGTCGTAAAAAGAACTGGGGTCTGGTACCAGCACTAATTAGCTTGCATATCTCAGGAGTAAAGCTGTGACTCCATTCTAGTAACAATGTGGAGAGGATTGGGCCATCATATGTACTGTGGGCCAACTAGTTTCCATGACAACAGGGAGCTTGAGGTACCATGCACCTAATTTGCTGTTGAGGCATGGTGCACCCACCATCCCAAACCAGCAACACTTGCACTGCTACCTTCTAGGTTAATTTCCTTATATCAGGGGTGACCTTAGCTAAGTTGCCTCTGTAACTGTCCACAAAAAATGGAAAGTCACAGACTCTGTTATCCCCCTGCCATAAATTAGCAACCCTCCCTGGTGCAGAATGTGCTGCCTACATAGTATGATTAATCAATGGAACATGTGTCCCTAGCATCTGGCCACTTCATGCCAAACATGCCTGGGTTTAGTAGACTGTACAGCCAGCTGCTAAGCAAACAGAAATGCTCTCCTCTGTCTTAAGCAGAAATTGGTGATTTTACCAGATCCAGACCCTACTGAGTCTTATTCTACCTTAGGTGCCCTGTGAGCAGTTGCCAGATCTTTCTTTTATCCAGTGGTTCAGGGCTGCACAAATGGCTGGCAGTGATGGTGTCTTGAGCTTGTTGTAATTAAAACCAACACCTTTTCTAACTGGTTTAAGGTCAGTATGTGGATCTGTGCATAGTTATTTTTTAATTGGAGCAGACAATGGACATGGGCCAACATTAATTGATATTAGCCTCTCTTTTTTTGGCAGACGCTCACTTCTTCTGAAATTGCTCACTGCTGTAAACTCTGAGAATGTGCCTGTGTAACTCCGACGGACCTGCCCCACTCCGCCATTACATGGGACAGAACACCACACTCAGAAGATGTGTGGGTTATACATATTTCAGTGAATCAATGAGGTACCAAGTTATTATCAGCAAGTGTAACTTACATGGAAACAGTGCAGAAGACAGCATGTTGCTTTCAAGTGAACAATCATGCAGTAGTGAATCCCTTGCTGCAGACTAGCCCCATAAACTAAGCACTTTGCTATGTAATGAAGCAGCTCAGTTGATTGGTATCACACTTGGAGAGGATGTTTGGCATAATCTAGCCTTGAAAGGACAGTTGGGGTTTCTGCTGTCTTCAGAGAGCTGTGGGGGAAAAGTCTTGTGACTAATGAAACTGGCAAATAAATAATAATACCTAACTGTTATTTAGCACTTTCCATCAGCAGATCTTCCAAAGGAAGTCAGTGTCATTATTCCTATTTTATAACAAAGGTGAAGTGACTTTCTCACGGTAATCCAGCAGGTCAGTGGCAGAGCTGGGAATGAAACCTGGGTCTCAGGCCAGAGGCCTCTCCACTAGGCTGCACTACCTCAATCATAAGCTCCTAATCAAATCAATCATGTTTTCAGGGGTCTGTGAAAAAATGAAGTTGGTGGTTCAATTTTTTCTGCAGATTTTTGGTAGAGGGCAGAATTATATGTATGTACAGTGCCTAAGGAGGAAAATAATAATAAACATTTATATAGTACCTTTCCTAACGAAAGATCCTGAACTATACGAAGGCTTCAGGTTCATCTACCAGTGAAATGCAGCTGCCTATGAGGTCTAACCCAGCAGCTGTTCAGCAGTGGGCAGGGACAGTTTAGCACAGGAAGAATATCCTTGGTAGTCCATCAAATCCGATGATGACAAATCTGTGCAGATCATCAGTTGTTGGTCTTATGGTGTGCCCTCTGGTGACTGTACAAGCCAATTCTAGAGGTGCACATTTGCTGCAGATGGTGCATGGGAAGTTCGCGGTCAGTGGATTGTGCGCTGCTGATGCTCTGTGATGTCGTTCGCGTGCCTCTTGTAGACGCTGGCAGTGGTCTTCCTCAAAGGCGATGCAGGTATTTCTGACTGTTGCACGCCACTGTGTTCTGTCGCTGGTGGTGTCCTCAAGGTCCCTAGGTTTGATACTGCTGTAGTGCAGATTGGCTTTGATGGTGTCCTTGTAACGTTTCCGTGGACAACCTATATGCCGGATGCCCTGGGAGAGCTCACCATACAGAAGCTGGCGGGGGATTCTGTTGGCATCCATGCGACTGACATGACCGGTCCAACGTAGCTGTGACTTCATGATCATCATTTCGATGCTTGTCATCTGGGCTCTCTCGAGGACTTTGAGATTGGGCACTTTGTCTTGCCAGCGGATCTTCATGATGTTGTGGAGGCAGCGCATGTGAAATGCTTCGAGCTGCTTGATGTGACGCCTATATAGTGTCCATGTTTCGCACCCGTACAAAAGAGATGAAAGAACAACAGCTCTGTACACAAGCAGTTTTGTTGACATCTGGATATTGTGGTGATTTAAAACTTCGACACGCAGACAGCCAAGTGCCTGGCTTGCTTTGGATATTCGTGCATTGATCTCATTATTCAGTGATCCATCACTGGATATGACACTACCCAGATATTTAAAGTTCTCCACTACTTTCAGCTGAGTGCCGTCAATGGAGATACTCGGGACAGAAGCATTTGATTCAGGTGCAGATTGATGGAGAACTTCTGTCTTTCCGAGGCTGATAGTTAGACCGAAAAGTTGCGAGGCCTCAGCAAACTTGTTGACAATGTGCTGAAGATCATTTTCAGTGTGAGCCATGAGGGCACAGTCGTCAGCAAAGAGTGCCTCAAGAAGGAGTTTCTGCACTGTCTTAGTCTTTGCATTCAGGTGACGGAGGTCAAAAAGTGAACCATTGTGCTGGTATTTCAAGTATATACCTCGGTCCAGATCTTTCAGTGCATGGTTAAGGACACATGCAAAAAACAGGTTAAATAGGACAGGAGCGAGAACACATCCTTGTTTCACGCTGTTGGTGATGTTAAAGGGGGCTGATGTGGCTCCATCAGACAATACTTCGCCTGTCATGCTGTCATGAAAAAGGCGTATAATCTGGACAAATTTTCTTGGGCAGCCAAGTCGTGTTAGAATGGTCCAAAGGGCTTCCCTGTTGACGGTATCAAACGCCTTTGTGAGATCTATGAAGACAGCATACAGGTGCATGTTGTGTTCAATGCACTTCTCTTGTATTTGTCTGACAGCAAATACCATGTTGACTGTGCTCCGGTCAGGTTGAAAACCACATTGACTTTCAGGTAGATTTGCCTCGGAAATACTGGCTATTAGGCGGTTCAAGATGACGCGGTCGATGTTCTTCCCTCCAACAGAGAGGAGGGATATGCCTCTATAGTTTCCCCATTCTGCTTTGCTGCCTTTGTTCTTGAAAAGAGAGACAATAATAGCATCGCGAAGGTCCTGTGGTATGTTTTCATCCTCCCAGATGTTGATGATCATGCTGTGGAACGCTGCTAGTGCTGCTGGACATGCTGCTTTATATATCTCTGCTGGTATCCCTCTTTTCCAGGAGCTTTCCCTGAACTCATCTGGCTAACAGCTTTCTTAATCTCATGTATAGTAGGCGGAAAGTCAAGATCTGTCAGAACAGGTTGTTGTGGAATTTCATTAAGGACATTATTATTCACAGTTGATGGTCTATTGAGAAGGTTGCTAAAGTGTTCTCGCCATCTTTCGTTGATGCCTTCTTTATCTTTAATCAGCATTGTGTTGTCTAATGAGAGCAATGGGGTGGTCCTTGGTTTAAAGGGTCCATAGACAGTCTTAATAGCACTAAAGAACATCTTTAAGTTGTGGGTCTCAGCATAGTGCTCAATTTCTTTGGCTTTGCTCTCCCACCAGTTGTGCTGTATCTGACGGAGATCTTTCTGTGTTTTGCTCTGAAGGTACTTGAAATGGTCCCGTTTAGAGACTGTGGAGTGGTCATTCTGCCATTTGATAAAGGCTTTTCTCTTTACTTCCAGTGCTGAGCATATTTCTTCTTGGTTTTCATCAAACCAATCCTGATGTGTTCTTTTCTTTGGTCCAAGAGATGTTATTGCTGTGTCAGTCACTATCTGCTTGAACTGGTCCCACTTTTCGGTTACAGTACCGATCAGTTGTCCGTGGGATGTCAGTTTGTCATCAAGACTCTTCTGGAATTTGTTGAAACATTGAGCATCCTTCAGTTTGGCTATATTGAAAGCAGGTCGCACATGCTTAGGGCGTTTGTACCGAGAAGGAACGATGTAGGGTTGAAGAGACGTCCTGACTAATCTGTGATCTGTCCAGCACTCTGCCCCTCGCATTACTCTGTTAATCAATACCTCTCGGATGTTTCGCCCTCTAACAATGGCATAATCTATCAGATGCCACTGTTTGGACCTAGGGTGCATCCACGTCGTTTTGTATTTGTCCGCTTGTCGGAACAGAGTGTTGGTAATGGTCTGGTCATTTTCAGAACAAAGACTCAAAAGAAGTAATCCATTACGGTTCATTTTGCCTACACCATGTGGCCCGATTACTCCTTTCCAGTTCTCGCTGTCAGCCCCGACTCGGGCATTGAAATCTCCAAGTAGGAGTAGTTTATCTGTTACAGGTGTGGCCTTGATCAGTCTGTCGAGATCTTCATAGAATTGTTCCTTTGAGTTGTCAGAGCATGTTAAAGTGGGTGCATATGCACTGATGATGGTGACATGACGTTTGGCATTTAGTGGGAAACGTAGCTTCAGCAATCTTTCATTGATACCCACTGGAAGGTCTGGGAGTTGATGCATCAATAAGGTTTTTATTGCCAGACCAACTCCGTGTATTCTGTCCTCTGTCTCAGTCTTACCCTTCCAGAAGAAGGTGTAACCACCTCCTGGTTCACTCAAGCAACCTTCCCCAGGCAATCTTGTTTCACTTAATGCCGCTATATCGATGTTATAATGGACTAGTTCTCGAGCAATGAGGGCTGTCCTTCTCTCAGGTCTTGCAACAGCTTCTCGATCCATGAGGGTACGAACATTCCATACACCAATGGTAAATTTTCTCAAATTTTTCTTTTGGTTTCGGCCACAGATTGGGTTGAATTGCCAGCCATGGCTTGCTGGCCAGTTATTGTAAGGCAGGCAATTTTTAGGCCACCTTTTCTAGGCCCCTCCCTTACTAGGGTGAGCAGTGCTGTCCTGAAGAGGGCTGCTCAGACGCCTGGGATGCTGCCGGGCAACTCTGCTGCCCCAAGTACAGAGCTGGACGACCACTTATCCACAGGCCGCCTGCATGCAGGATTGGGACTACGACTCCCAGTGGTAACCTCCACCTGTCGCTTTGCCCCTCCCCCATCACCGCAGGACTTGGGTAGCATGATGATGATGATGTTTGATGATTTGCACAGGACCTGTGTGTGAAAGCTTTTGAGTGGTAGAGCCGTTGCATGGGAGCAATCCCACTCTCTTGACCTTAGAAGCCAGACACCAATGGTACGAAAAATCGTCACAACTTGTAACTTCTTTGGTTGCAGTGGATGGCCTTGACATCTTTCATACCTCGTCAAGTCCTTCACTTTCCACAAAGCATTGCAGAACCGCCTTCTTGGCCGTTGGATCTTAGTGATCTCTTTCGCTCAATCCGCCGGAGCTGATGTTGCATGCGGGGTAGGCATATCCCAAATTCACTGAGGGTTTGAGTCCCATCAGTTACACTCACCTGGTTTGGCCGGCCTGTCAAAGCCGTTGCCCGGGGTGTGGCCGCCGCGCATGCTGTAGCTACTTGGAGCCACAGGTGAGAGCTGAGTGACAGGTGGGGACCAAAGTGGATGGACTACCCCCAAAGGGTACGACAAGTCCCCCCATCAGAGGTACTACCCCTCCCTGGCCACCCCATACACCCCACAGGAAGAATATCACAGTGTAGCTAATTCACATGGCTGGGGAAATTTTAGGAAGGTAGAATTTAATTATTCCAAATTATAGTCTGGACAGAGGTCCCGAGTTAACACCTCTATTGTCAGAATTGATTCAAGAATGAAAGTGAACCCAGTGGTATTGTAGGGGAGATATGATGCAGTTTAGTTCTTTTGACACAAATCCTAGCTCACATGCACAGGATTAAACTGATCACTGAATATGGGACGCTGAGTGAACATTTTCTCTCTTGGACTATTCAATGAGCCCTTGAATTTGAGGGACGAATGTTGTGGGGGGGGGGGGGAGGACACGGAGTGGAGGTAGTTGTTCCTTTTTCTGGACCTATTGAGAGAGGTGCATTAGGACTTGGAGCTGATGGGCATATCACTTATCATGATCAATTTCCTTTTACTGTAGTTTGAAGCTTCTATAGGATCACAGTGGGAACATCTGTGGACCTCAGTCCCTTCTGTCTTCTATTTCTTTACTTGAGTAGAAATTATGACGTTTTACCTTGGATTGACTGTAAATATGGACAAAGCAAATGCTGATACCTTTGCACAGACCCAAACAGCTTCCACTTTGTTGCTACTCGTTTTCTCCAAAGCTTAAAATGATCTGATTGCTTCACATAAATGTCACTTCCCTGCAATATGGGCAATTGCTAGAATAGCCTCTGGCTAGTGTCTGTCTAGCTCAAGACACCTTTCAAGGGGCAGCTCAGAGCAGGA